CCACACTCACACTCACACTCACCTCCATACCCACACCCATACCCACACTCACACCCACATTCATATCCACATTCTACCGACATCCACACTCCACACAGACCCACACCCACAACCCTTTTTTTTTAGTTCTGTATTTTTAGGGCTTCCTCTAAGAAAATTAAAAGAAAAACAGCACATTAATAATTTTTTGAAACTCTTTCCTCTATACCATATATTTCATCGAATGCTTTTTCGAGATAAATAACAATCTGACTAACTCTGATAAAAACGTTTACTCATGTCGTACTATAATATTGAATGTCCTGCTGACCTTCTTACCGTATCACTTAATGGGCCTGACAATGCGGGAAAGGCAACACAATTGAAATTTATGCCTAAGCATATCGAAATTCGAATAAACATTCACAACTATGATGACTACATGAGTGATATCGTTAATAAAAACTCTCTTCAACAATGGTGGTTCGTCGAAAGTGACCATGAAGAATTTGTCAAAACTATAATGAACGCTTTAAACAAACGTGCTCATATTCCGACAAACAATAATACGACTTTAATCGCATTCAATGGTGGTGGTATTATGTTTGAAGCAGTGTGCATAGCTACCATTGCCTCAAAGGATAAATGTGACTTAGAAGAAGCGCAGAAACACTACAATTCAATTCTGGAAAAATTCTCAATACAGATTCCTCGCGAAAATATTCGCATCTTGCTCAAACATGGTTATGATTTCGAAGAATCCATACAACGAACACTAATGCATGAACTTAAGTATGATGATACCTATAAAACCTACCAAAAGTTGTTACACAAACAATTAGAAATTTAGGAACACAATGGTAGTTACACGCACATCATTGATGTTACAGGCAAATCTATTGATGAAGTTCAAAATGAAGTTCGTTTAATCATAAAACAATGTCCCTCCGTTAAAGTCGATACTCGTTTGAACCCTATGTTTCAACATTTGGGAATGATGATTGCATATGGTGGAATGTCTAAATCAGGAAACAGTTCATTAGCAAAAGGCATATGTAAAAAGTTACAATCGATCAACGTCAACTGCATACATCTTAAAATTGGTTATTTTATGGATTTAGCATCGAATGCACTCGGTTCTGATGTCTATCAATTACCAGAAGAAAAACAAATCGATGAATTAGTTAAACAGCTTGATCACTATTTAAATAGGCATTATTGGATAACTATAATTACAATTGAAAGTCTTCATTCTTTAACGTTTACTCAAGCATTAAAAACCCTTTTTGGTAGTCTTATTCAAATTGTGTGTGTCGATACAACTCTTGATACACGCATGAATCGTTCTGTTGATACCATAGAAAATCTTCATACAAATGATACTATAAAAATATCATATAGTATAGACAAAATCAAAACAATTGCAAATTTCATTATTAACGATAATTTAGATTCATTGAATGAATCGATTGGTTATCTTTTTGAAATGTTAAAAGCAAAAAATGAAAAATTAACATATCAATCAAAGGTTAATATTCAATATTTATCGAAAATAAATCTATTGTCGCATCGATTTGTATGGAATGCTGGTACAATACTTATTCGAAAATCGACGCGTGAAGTTTGTCTTGTACATGTGTTAGATGATGCAGGCGAATGGGTCTTACAAAAAGGACGAAAGAATATGAATGAAACACTGTCGGAAACAGCCTTACGCGAGACTTATGAAGAAACAGGATACCATTGTTCATTAATGCCATTAATAATGTAAACGCGAGCTCCGTCAAACGATGACACTTGGGAAGATGTGCCTCATGAAGTTAGTAATTCTTGTGAACCATTTTCCATTTCAATTCGTCAAATTGAAGGTGATACAACAAGTCAAAAACACATTTTTTTGGTTTGTAGCTCAAGTAGATGAACAAATACCAAGAGATATGAACACTCAAATGGTGGATGAAAATTATGAAACGAAATTTGTTACACTTTCTGAAGCAAATCGTTTACTGACCTATCCCGATAATAGAGAGCTCGTACAAAAGGCATTCTTACTTTTTGAAAAAACTTATCCATCATATTAACTCAAGTATGTTCTCGACGGAACTGAAACGTTAGCATCTGTTCTAACCACTGCTAAAGACTTGCATAAATACTGTGTGACGTATCGAAGTTCTAATCTTTTCTTTTCATAATCGAGAGTATACTGGTCTCCCGATCTGACCAGTGAGCTGATACGTTTCGATGTTTTTTTTGTCTCTTAAAGCGTTATCAAAAAATAAAATAATCAATACTTATCGCTGATACACGTTTGCTTCTTTAATGAAATCAAAAAACCGACATGCACTATCTACTTTTAGTTACATATGTTGAACATAGATCATCACCTACATGTCTGCTAATGTGAAATCCATCGATGAAATAATTAAAGCAACTATTTGAAGTCATTGAGACATATTGGTAAGTGAAAATACTTTATGCTCAATAGGTTGTCGCTGATGAGAAGACTAACATTTCGCATTCATACTCCACACTCTGTGAATGTCGTCTTTTCAATCAAAAGCGTATATTCACAAGCACACTTACACTCCAAATTAAATGTAGTACTTTCTTCTTAATGTACAAATGACGTTGTGAAGTAATTCAATAGTTGCACAAGTGCTCATCAGACAAAAATCAAATTTTGACCTAAAATTTTGTTTATAGACAATTCTAATCATCTTTAGAATATTCCTTTGTCGAGCTATTGAATTTTTAAGAAAGTTCGATTTTTTATGACATTTCTGTAACAAGAGATTAGTTTTTTGAAATTCAATAGCTCGACAGAGAAATGTTCTAAAACCAATTAGATCCGTCTTTAAACAAAATTTTAGCTCGAAATTCGTGTTTTTTTGATTTTTCGATGAATACCTAAAAATGAATCGAAAATTCAGTAAAACTGTCATAATCGAGTGCCATAGGGCCATGAGAATGAACCATTTTAGACTTTTGCTAGTCTCATTGATATCTCCTTGTGGTGTCAATATGAGAGAATCTAACGATTTTCTTTGTATATAGTTGTCATCTTTTTGATTACTAAAACCTCTTTATGGGAGAGTAACCAGTGTATGACGTCAGTACGCGTGCAACACGCAGATTCACGCATATTGATGTGTTGTACGCGCCGCCACATGCCAAGCTCATTCGATGTAAATAGCATTACTTTCTTTCTTATAATCGTAAAAAATGGAAGCGACAAAAAGAATTTTTAACTTTTTTTTCTGTTGACATACGCGGCTCGGATGGTTACCTGTCAATGTGTGCAAGCAGAATGGCAAAAAATAAATTGCTTCACATTTCACAAGATTCTTTTGAAGCAACATGGCAGAAGAAATAAACACAAACAATTGTTGTCATTCGGAAACCATTGCAGAAACGATCTTGAGCAACAATGAACCATCTCTATCTGAACAGCTTCTAACTCGATTAGAACAATTAAAAATACTGTTAACAAAACCAAGTAAAGATGACAAACAAATATGGCTACAATTTCTTTCTCTCTGGCGTGAAATTCTTCAAAATCCATTACCGATTGTTGAATCGTGTTATATAGCATCTGCTCAATTTTTAACAAACCTATTAACATTGATCGATTATGATTCTATTCTAAAAGAAAAATCCACAGCTCGTGAGAGTACTTTTACATGTATCATGCTGTTGAATCAATTACACTTCAAGAATTACCTTCTGCTAACGAATGAAGAACAAATGTTACCCAGTAATATAATGTATTGTGTTCATATTTATTTTCTTTTGCTAATCGCTGCACATTCAATTTTCTTTGCTTCGTTGACTACAATCGATGACCGACAATACTTTGAGAATTATGCTGATTTCTTTACTCTACTTATTGATCATGTTGATCAAAGTATGCCTGAGCATTCTCAAAGAATCATGGAGCAAGAGTATGAATTGGGTAATATTAATGAAGGTATTCTTATGTTGCTCTGGAATACAGCAGATCAAACATTACTTGTTCCAACATTTCTCAAATGTGGTCTTGCAAAGAGAGTAGTCGCCTGGCTTGCTCAATCGACCAAATTGACAGAAAAAAGTCGACAACCACTGATTAGTATTATTCATAATATAGCACGACACGATGACGGCGCTGATGAACTCAACAATCATGGAGTTATTGACGTTATAAAACAATATCAGAAGACGTGAGTTCACTTTGAGTGTTGATCCTACATTTTCTATCTGTAAACTAATGAAAAAAAGTTTAAGAACGAGTTTGTTTCTTTCTGTTCTGTTCAAAAACCAGTGCTAATAATGTTTTAATGATTTTACATACTTAGGCAGTATCTATGAGCAGTAACTCCATATAGAGAGACTTGGTAGGTTCTAGTCTCTGTGTCACAGATAAGCTCATGTGTTATCATGCTTTGTTCAATATGACAAGCAATAATTCTATTACTACAGACATTCTCTGAAAAGACAGAACGTATCCAACACAATACATTTATTTACTTTGAAAAATCTTCATCTCAGAGTACTTTAAAAGTCCGAATTCTGACATTTCTACGATAACCTCTATGGCTTTCATAGTTACGTAGCACAAAGTTTGTATTAAAATAGAAGATTGAAAAGAGCACAAAAAACATTATGTCTAATGAAATATCTTGAGTGTTGATAAAGTTTTCATTTATAGTTATATCAAGTGATTCCACTTCTTTCTATATGTCTGAGAGAGTTGGCTTTGCCTAAGTTTAAATTCACTGTTGTTGCTGAGTATTATTTTCAAAAGATAAATTAGATTTGTATTGGATTCACGTATTTGATAGTTTCAAAGTGCATCATTTAGGAAAGAACTTTTTGCTCTATCAGACTCAATTATAGAATCTTAAAAATTGACACGGACGATCCAAGTCAGATTGAACTTGTACTAGATTCACATGTTTGATAATCTCTAGATTCGTTATTTTGTAGAGCATAAAAGGAAGACATTTCAAAGTAAACTAATCCTTTTATACTCTGTTGGATCATCTTTGATCTATTCATAAAAACTGTTTATTTGAAGTAATAAAGTATCAAATCAAAACGATTCGTGAATGTTATCTAAAGCATTTAATAAGCTATAGACTCGTAAAAAACTCAACTTTTCTTCATCATTCCATGACTATGATGTTCAGTCGGAAAATAATGTTTTTTTTCAAAAAGTAAAAAACAAACTTGATGGCTTCTTTTTTTCTTTTATTTATTCATACATACTGATTATTTGGGCATTGACACGGCTGATACGTACTGCTGTACGCATAATCATTTACAGAGTTTTATTTTCAATATAAACTCATAATTAACAAGATTTTCATGCTAAAATCTTTTACAAAAATAAAAGGAATACTAACGGTTCTGGAACTGAAAGAAATTATCTCAGTTCAAAAAAGTCGCCTTTTTCGATGCTCAACCATATGTCATCCCCATAATGGCTCGTTTTCGAAAAAATAATTCACACCAGGTAAATTTTCAGCCTTTTATAGATAAAATCTCCCTATATATATAATGTTCAGCATCTGCCTGTGACGGGTTAAAGGGTAAAAATCAAATAAGGCTATAAGGGTGTAAGACTATAAGAGTGTAACGCTGAAGGGAATAAGGCAATAAGGGAGTAAGGCTATAAAAGGGTAAGGGTATAAGGAAGTAGGGATATAAGAAACTAAAGCTATAAGGAGATAAGGGTATAAGCGTGTAAGGCTATAAGGGGGTAAAAATATAAAGGAGTAACGCTATAAGAGGATAAGGGTATAAGAAGTAAGGCTACAAGGGGATAGAACTATAAGGGGTAAGTGTACATGAGCTACAAGCGGTATAAGGCTATAAGCACGTAAGGCTACACGAGTCATAAAGCTATTAGCGATACAAAGATATGACGCCGTAGAGGTATCTATATACATAATGTCGAGTATCTCTATTGCTCTTACCGGTGAAAGGTTAAAGATTTGAGGTCAAACGTTGAAGGAAAAAAACCACCGTGCAGTTTGCACAGGCTTTCGCTAGTAAATACAAAATCGTGAAACATCGTGGAAATCCAAATTGTCATGCCATTCAACCCGAATAGATCATTTTTAACCCATTCTCCATAGCAACAGTGAAATGGCTTTGTCGAAATTTAACTAAACCAGTGTCATATTGAATAGTTATGTAAGCTATTCTCGCAACCGACTCGACATTAAATCTGCTAAATTAATGCCGGAGGGTAAAGGATTAATGTATTGTGTTGAACACGTTCTGTTCTTGTAGAGAATGTCTCTAATAACAGAATTATTGCTTGCCATATTGAACAAAGTATGATAACGCATGAGCTTATTTTATTTGTTTCTAAACTTTTTTTTTCACCACTTTATTTAGTGGACTAGAAAAGGAAAATTCACGAAGCCTTGTTGCTTCTATGGCTTTAGCCCTTCTTTCGACACCTGAACAACTCAAAACTGATAAGAAAGGTATGAATATTGTACTAAATCAATTACTACAACTAGTCATGAATGCTACTAAAAGTGACGAATATCGACATGATGGATTTCATGTTAGTGAACCGTTGGCAGTCATGGTAAAAATGTTCGTCGTCGAAGAACGCACACTTGACTATGTACTATGTCATGCTGAAACAGAACCTTCATCAGATATGTTTTCGACTATTCATCTTTTCGCTTCGTTACTCTTCGATTTTTCTCAAGCATTAAAAGGAACCAATCGACTTGAACAATTTACTCTTATTGCCATATTCAATATTCTTTGGAGTATATCATTTCAACCAATCTATGCACAAGAATTAATAAAAAATCAACAATTAATCGAAACAATTAAACATTTCATAGATGAAAATTATGAACAAAAAATTTTAGAACAATACAAGCCACGTTCAATGGAAGGTATCAAAGAAGCAGCTCATGGTATTCTTCATAATCTTAAGATAGATAACCAAATCGAGACAACATTCAATAATCAGAGCACTGTTCTTGATGCTCTTATATCAAATCCATTGAAAGAGTACGAGAAAAAGTTTTTTTTTTTCTTTAAATATTACTACAGAAGTGTTATCATTTGATATTCTACATAGTATAAGTAGCAAGCCATGGATTATGATTAGTTATTGTCATGATAACAACACTTTTTGTGATACGATACTCAGTTTTCTATCCAAACGCAATGATGCCTTTGACATATGGATCGATCGAACTCACTGTCAAACAGCAGGTGATTTATGGGAGTCGATTGCTGATGGGATGGAACGAGCATGTATTATCGTATGTCTTGTTTCAAGTCAATATTTTGAAAGTAAATCATGTCGTAAAGAATTTATATACGCAGCTGATACACTGAAGAAAACAATTGTACCTGTATTGTTAGAGAATTTTAAGCCTAAAGGATGGCTTGGTGAGTAATGAAGTCATTTTATTATCGTTCTTTATTATCATGTGCTAGGTATTCGCATACCCGATATGAAATATATTCGCTTTCGAGATCTTCAGCCTGAGCAAACTAAAATGGTTGAGTTGTTGAACACAATTCTTTTATCACTAAAATCAATGGACCATGAAAACCTTCCATCACCATCTCAACACCACGCTGTAACACTATCTATTGCTGATACCACCGCTGAAGAAACGTCTATTCTTCGCCCATTCGATCAATGGACATCAACGGGTAATGATGTTGCCGCATGGTTTGCACACCATCGAATATCAAGAAAACTTCGTGATTTATTCGAATTTCAAACAGGCAAAGAAATGCTTGACTACGCTGAATTACTCATTAAAGATCGTGAAAAACAGATGAATATTTATGAAAAAATATTTGCTGAGAAATACAATGGTAGTGAAATGCCTCCACACGAATTCTATCGATTTGCAACAGCCATGGAACAATTACTTAATGATAATCGTTCTTCTTTGTCTTCTGTCAACAAAAATGCATCAATACCAATTAAATCGAGCACCTGCATTATTTTATAAAAAATTAGAATAAGCATCTGTACAGTTTTAGTTATATGCTAACCTTGAACGTAACATGTTAATAATCGAAGAGTTTAAAGAAATCAAATTATTATATCCCAAAAAGGTATTCTCTAATCAAATGTTAGTACGATAACAATCTTATGTTTGATTATTATGTTTTGATTCTATTTTAATTTTGTGATTTGATTAACAATAAAGATATCTATATTGAGCTTATTATCTATAAGTTTTGTTTCTATAAAATATTTGATTATATATTGAAATTGCTCGACAAATTATCTTAGATAATGAATAGACAACTTTGAATTTGTGAACGATTTGATGATAGATAAAGCAACCAGTGACGAAATCTTTGCTTTTCGCTATTATAGGCTTCATTGAAAAATGAGACATAGGAATGTTTTAAATCAACTAATTCTAAGACGATTGAAACTAAAAATTTTCTCAATAATCAACCAGTTGAAGCAATATTCGATATAAATGGTATACATATCCATTATGACATGTTTCCTTGCATTAGCTGACACCTAAATGACTCCTCAGACATTTGAGGATGTGGGTCTTTTCTTCAGTCACAATCATACACCTACATCACATCGACAACTGAATAAAAAAATATCTCTACACTTGGTACACACTTTTTGAGATATTCTGCAACCTATCACGAACGTACTAATTATTTAATACCAGTTTCACTTTACAAAACCTTTTAGCTATTTTGTAGAGAACAGAAAATATTCTTATGTGAGTTAACCATATTTTTCAAGCACTTACTCCGCTAAATAGAATCATCTTCTGGAGAGCTTCAGATCATATCATTGCTCTCATAGTTCATTATTTTGATTCTATACAATTAAACATAATCAATTTTTGACAATTCCCAGACTAAAAATAGCTTAGGTTCCTTATTTTATACCGCATGCTATTTGTTTGTTTGGAAAGAACATCACCAACGAAAAGTTTACGGTTTTTTTAATAATAGAAACCTGTGAAAACATCAATAGCTTTCGTTTCTGACATGATGTTGAATTGTTGAATTCGATGATTTCTTTTCTCGCTTATAAACAAATTTCCTTCTTTATCTAATCCTATGCTATAAACATCTTTGAATGTACCGGTACCGGTGCCCCAGACGTTTCCATTAGCTAATCACATACCTTCGGTTGCAGCTGGAACCCATTTCATAACTCGAATATTGTCAGTATCGGCAATGTAAATGTTACCATACGGATCAACTTCAACATTCCAGGGACTATTCATTTGATTAGCAGCTAAACCTTGTCCGTTCCCGCCTGCCACAGTGATACCTTCACTTGCACCTTTCTTCCATTTTTTTATTCGACTATTCCATAAATCGGCTATGTAGATTGTCTCGCGTTGATCGATAACGAAACCACGTGATCTACTTAATTGATTTGCTGCCGACCCTCCTACACCAGTGCCCGCTACGATTATACCTTCGTCTATCTTAAGAATTCATTTAACAATACGATCGTTGTAAAAGTCCAATATGAACAATGCGTTAGTTTCGTCATGAACTAAAATACGCTGACAAGCTCCTATCTGATTCAGACCTTTGCCTTTACCATGTCTCTCAGCTACTGTTACGCCACGGGTCGCACCTTTTGCCCACATTTGAATGCGAGAATTATCGGTATCCGCTACACACACATATTCATTTTTATCAACATAAACGGCCCAAGGCATATTTAATTGATTCGATCCATTACCAGGACCACTATAGCCCGCCATAGTGATACCAGCACTGCCGATAGCTTTGAGATTGAACTTCTGAACTCAATGATTTTTAGTATCAGCAACATAAATATTATTACGTTCATCATCAACAAATAAGCCGAATGGTGAACCTAAATGGAAGGCATCGGATCCGAATTTCTTGTTGATATCAACAAGAGGATTTCCTTGTGTTGACTATTCAGCCGTTGGACGACAGTTATTTTGTTTCTCATGATCACAATTGATTGTAGCTAAACAAAAACAAGATGAATCAATGAAATACATCATACACGACTTTGATGATCTATTTCAATGTTGAACGAGAAACAAGCTACTTGTTTCACGATACAAATCAGAACAAGAATCAGCATATGTTTATGAGTGTCCCAATCGCAAACTTGAATTTGCTGATTTCAAACTAATCCAGCTGGGCATTGCATCAAATAATGTATCCCATGTGAACATTGATAGAAGAAATATTTGTCGTCTGGATCAGCAAAGAGGCCATCGCTTGAACATTGAAAACCATTAGTAACTGAATACAATGATACAAAGATAATCACAAATATTGATTTCATTGGCATGATCGAATTGTATTGACTAAGCAAAAAAGAAAAAAAAAGCAAGGCCAATCTTTTTTTTAAATTCTTGTCATGATATTCACTCAAAACCGAGCAGGTGCTTTACTGCTCAGATAACAAAATTAAGTCTAAGAATGATGTGAATGTATTTTTTTTTCTGTTCGATGTATCAAAAAGTACGAGTAAAATAAAAACAGGAACCCTAAAGAAATCTGATTTTAATGAATTTTTCTATGATTAAAAATCGATTAAAAAGGCACTATTTTAATTTGATTTCTAATCAAAATAATGATTATTATTCATTTTTAGAAGTTTAATCGATTATAAGTATCATGTTGATTGAAAATCGAATTCAAATAGTGCCATTTTAAAAGATCTTTAATCGCACAAAATCGATTAAAATCAGAGTTTTTATTTTTTTTTCTTATATAAGTCATTCACTTCATTACATCAGTGCCTGTTATTTGACTGTAATCTATTCTTATTTTGTCATCAATTTTAACATTTTGTTATCTATCAACCGTTTATAATCGATTCTTAACTGTTAATCGCTTTTAATTTACCGTTATCTTTTAATCGATTTTCGTTATTCATATCGAAGATAAGCGCTTTTCTCGAGATTCGAACGCAAACCCTCGATTTTACATGATTTTTTGAATTTCTCCTGTTTAGAAACTATGCAATTGCTGCTAAGCTGATATTAGACAAGTATAGTAGAGTTGAAACTCTTATATAAATTGTTTGAAATAGAAATAGTGTAATCACAATAGGAATCGATTAACTCTGGAAAATACATTTTTTATTGAGTAATATCCCGAAAATAGGATCGGGTTGGATCATCCATGATTCGAATCTTTCATTTTCAACCTTTATGGTAGTGATCACTATGTTTTTAAAGTAAATAGCTCGAAGAAATAATGCAATATAACTGACAGAATTACACTTCGTTTCGCAATTAACTAGATCGAAAAGTAAAACAAATGTCCTACTTGCCATTTCTAACTGGCGTGATTTTTTGAGTGTGGGTGTAGGTGTGAGTATGAGTATGGATGTCAATCTAGGTGTGAGTGTCCGTGTGAGTTCTGGTTCGAATATAAAAAGTAGCTAATAGTACTTCATCGATTTCTTCAGTATGGTTCAAAGAACATGGTTTATACTCGATATTTCACTTTCTTACATCGTCTCGAAGTCGAATTGATGTGTGCACATAGAGAAGCAAATTTTCTTGCCAAATGTAAACTTTCTCTACAATGTCACCGAAATCGCTGACACCATATACACAAAATGTTGTATATGTTTACGAATTATCAATAACCTTATAGCTATTCACATCCAAATTCAACTGCAAAAAATTTCCTTGCGGAATTACAGTATCGAAAGTCAAATAAAAAAAACTATTTACTAAAATTTAAAATGATAAAAGTAGAATCAAAAAGATTTCTTTTTCCTACTCACCAGAACTCACTTGACGATTGAGATGGGAATAGTAATAGTTGAATGCTAGACCACTACTGATGCTGTTTGCATGCAGAAATTAAGGATATAAGCGTGATGACGACTTTTGAGAACAAATCAATCATTCAACGAACGTGCTGAAGTTCCGTTCAAATTTTATCGCGATGTAACGTGTGATTTCACTGCATTTATGACCACAAAAATGATAGTCCTTGTGCTGAATTGCTCGAATGATGCATTATATAAACAAAATAGAAAACTTTCTGAATATCGACGTCTCAAACTAGTTTCTTGATCTGGTAAGAGATCAGTGCGGACGTAAGTGTGAAGTGTGTGTGTGGATGTGAGTGTGAGTCTTCCTTGCCTTCTGATACACACACACACACTCACATCAGCTCATTCCCATACCCACACCCAGACCCTCATTATATACTCTACTAGTAGTGCAATAAGATAGCAATTTATTATAAGCAGAAAAGCAATCGTTCATTTTGTCATTAGACTGCATAGTTGTAAACCATAGAACGATTTTTCTTGTAATCCTGTGTTGAGCATAAAACAATCCTAGATGTTTGCTTCTTGTTCTCGATTATTGATTCGCAATGATTCGTAGAAAAAATGGAACACTAGATATCAAGGTAATGTTCTTTCGCTAAATAGCAGCATTGCTAGTAATGGTTGTCAACACATCGGTACTATTCTTGTCCACATCGACAGTTTCCTAAATACACGATGACATCGAGTGCATGTAAAAAAGATCGGAATTCTTACGCACCGAGATAATAAGACTATCAAATTGTTGTCTCGACGCAATTAATTTGATTTCATCGAACACTGTCTGTGCTACCTCATTAGCATTATTCTCATAGTTGTCCATGAAATGGCATCGAGGATTACTCTGACCTATTGCATTTGATGATTGAAGCGATGATGATGGTGAAGTCGGTACACTTGTTTCAGTATCATATCTACGGACAATAGCATTGTTTTGATCGATCAAATGGGATTTTTCTTACTCCTTTTTGTCGTTGGTATGAAGGATGAGAGAATCATTACAGGAATTTCCATGTTCTGTTTCTAGATCCTCATTTTCTTCATCGGAGTAATCGTTGAAGTCAATTTGCTCGGGTTGAATGTAGAGTTTACGTGTATATACTCGTTGATACCGATCGACCAGAACTGAGACAAGCATACCAATAGTACCTACACCAGTCAATGCACATAGAACAGCAGTCAGACGTCCAAGAGCGGTGATCGGTACCATATCACCATAGCTAAACATGCAAAAGAAAACAGAATAATCTTACTCTGCCTCTCTTATTTTTCAATTTGTTGTTGAACTACACTTTCTGTGAAAACAGGCATTCTTACCCAACACTAGTGATTGTCACAATACCCCAATAGGTAGCTTTCGGTATGGAATCGAAAATCGAATTACCATTTGTACTCTCAATGAAGTGGACAGTCGCACCAAAGAGAAAGGCCATTAGCGTCAATGTGATTGCCAAAATAAGAAAATCAGGCATCGATTCTTTTACTGTCACGGCAAGAACACGTATGGTTTTGATGTTTTTAAAAATTCGATAAAATTTAAATATACGAGCACATCGAAGAACGCGTAATAATGAAATACTATTATAGATATTAATATTTTGCTCGTCTAATTGATCGACAAGATTTATGATATTGGTGACATAGAATGGAACGACAGCAATTATATCGATCCAATTCATAAAACTCTTGAAGTACTTAGCTAATGATGGTGTGCTGAGTAAACGTAGAATCAGTTCAAGAGTAAAAAATCCAATACAAATCATCTGAATACAACGAAATGGTGATGAAAAATAGGAAAGACACATGCGTTCATTCGATTGAACCTTGCTAAGACTCATCGAGTCATTATTCGTTCTAATTTTATACTGCTTATATTGTTTTTTGCATGCGTCTTCCGATAAATGTAAATATTGTGGCAAAGATTCGAGTGCCAAGGTAATCGTAGAAATGAAAATAATAATTAACGAAAGAATATTAAATAGTTTGGCAATGAATGAAAATTCCGGATATTCCATGGTAGCCCAAATATACCGACGGCAACGATTTCGAGGTAATTGAGTTTTTTCAACCTCTTTCAAATTTTCATCTTTGCGTACTTGAGCAAGTGCATCTTGACCCAAATCAAAAAATATGATTTCTTCAAGAAATGTATCGAGTGGTACTGAATTTGGTCGACGTAATCGACCCTTCGATTGATAATAATAGAGAATAGCTTCAAAACATCCTCGATGACGATCAAAGAAATATTCATTAAGAATATTATCATAATAATATTTGCGTCGTTTAACATTCCCTAGCAATGTATTTGGATAGGCTTCCAGAGTAGATTTGAATGTCTCAAAACGAATTCCACTTATATTAATGACAATACGATTTTGACGTGAAATATTCAGAGAACTTTTTCGTCGTTCAGCTTTGACTATCTTTTGATGGGATAGATCTCGCATATTTATGACATCCCTAGTAAATCAATCGTCCGAGAGAAAATCATAAATCGCATTCAAAATGGAAGGAAAATAAGCAGTACATTTGTATATGAGTGAATTGTAACTTTTTGGTGTAATTGAGATTTTAGCTGTATTTTGCTAATAGTTTTTGTTTCTGTTAATCAATTTTAACAATTTTTTTGTATAGGCTACAGGTTTCTATGTATCCCACTGCCATACCAAATTTCAGCTCTTTAGTTCATACTGTCGCTGATTTATGAGCTGTATACTATTAAAAAAGTCGTATTTTATAGTAAGATGCACCAAAAAAATGAAACTTTTGAAACATTGTAGGAAAAGAAAAACAAGGTAATGCATAGTTCATCTTGTAGCATGTGTTATCTTCTGTTGAAATATATATCTTTCTCGCTCGTATTCTTTTCTTTCTATGGTCTTTTGTTCACGACGCTCTATCACATACATTTCGCGATTTTTGTGTAGAAAGATACTGTACTTTAATTTTCTTCGAAGGCACACAAGTTGAAGGAAAACAAAGGTATTCAAAAGATGAAGAACTTGATTAGCACACAACTGATAAAAAATTCATTTCGTCTTAATAAGCTTTTGTCGGTGAAACAAAAGCGATATTTACTCACTTTGAAGAAGAACATTTTGAAAATTACACTATAAATAACTTATGAATGACTCATCTGTTCTGATTCCAGTTTTTATTGAAATTATATTTCTTAGAGTTGTACGGCCAGTCAAAAATTCAGTTTTTTATCGCTTTCTGCTATGAAGAAATTTAGAAAATATGATGCATTGTAAAAGGACATTTTTCATTAAACTAACGTTTTTATGGTGTATTTATGTTGAAGTAAGTCGTATCTCAGCTAATATGTGGTGAAGTGTTGAGAAACTTTTGTTGTGTGACATAGGCATAAAGTGAGTGTAATAAAATGCATGGCACAATCATTGCTTAAGTCTACTTTCATTTTTTCGTGCCAATTATACCAAAAAATTGTTGCAATTCACTCATATATAAAAGCGTGAGTACAACCAAAGAAGGACATAAATCTCATCAACTTACGGACTATGTTGATGTAAAAATGTATCATTCGTCTTGAATATTTTTTGACTATATCTGAATCAATATACACAAATAAAAAAATATGAATAAGTCTTGTTACAGATACGTACCTTCGTAAACTGATATGAAATTGACGATCGATTGAAGATGATTTTCGATTAGTAGTAGCATCAATTCGACCTTGATGATGCGTAGATAGTAATGTATCTGATGTGTCCATGCTTAATTGATCTATACGAATGTATGAGCATGGAATGTAAACAGTCGATCAACAAGTACTATTTCAATTAGATGAGAAAATCTCGAAAATTTAATCATCTTATTCAAAGCTTTATCGTAAGATAGATTACGACAAAATGTCTATATTTTATGTCATATTTAACATACAAGAATGAAGAAGCTTTTATGATGAATAACTCAAAATTTCGAATGATGACATGATATGTTTTGAGAATCTTTTTTGATAAAAAAAACTTATTGTGCTTTAGGTCAAAAAATATTTCTAACTATGGAAAACTGGCGGGTGTGGGTAGGTACGCGAGTGTGAGATGTGGATGTTGACGATGTTCATTTTTCATACGCTCACGTCCACATCCACATATACACCCTTTTCGATGCTTTCCTTTTAATGTTTTATAACTTTACCTGTTGAAGTTATATTATACAAAGTTCTGAATAAAATACAATATATTGAAAGCTAAATGACAAGAATCTATTGATTATTTTATTCAATGACAAGTATGAAGTTATGTTTTGCCGTTCGCTTGATCACTTCTCATGTTCGATGGGAGAAAGAACGAAACAAGTGAAAAAAACTTGCAGTGAATGAGTACAGGTAAATATATTTCTCTCCCAATCATCAAGAGTCTATGCGAGGCACCACTACTATTGACAAGAGAGAAAGAACAGAAACGATTTACACAAGAATACCTTCCCATCGTAAATTAGTATCGGATAGGTATAGGACGTGAGTGTGAGTGAGTATTACTTCCAGTGTAATTCACATCCACACCCACACCTCATAGGTTTTAAAAAGTGTGCCTTTGCTATAGCATCGTCAACGACACATTTTAATTCTGTTTCGCTTCATCTCAGTATTGGCTCTATTGTTGTCCTCTGGAATGAGAAAAAATACCCTTTTTGACAGTCAACAAAGTGCAATCGTTAGTCGATTGCTTATTGAAATTTTTGTGCATAGAAAACAATACTCAAATGTACGTTGTGCAGGTGCATCGTGTTTTTCGCAAAAAAACAAGGAGAAAAAATATGCACATTAAGCAACTTTTGTGCGGTCTATGCGAATGATTCATTTGGCGCGTACAGAACGTGTTACTTTTGCCAAAAATAACAACAAGCAGACCTTCATTTTTATACCATTCTGATCCAAATAAAAAGTTATTAAAGAATAAGACTGACGCTGTTTGATTCAAAATAAAGTACAGTGACATGAGTTGACTTCACATCTTTACAACATAAACGCAAGTCAAAATCTGTTCGAAAAGAAATTAAAATAAGAGATGAAGAATAAGATAATCGATAGTGCTGAGTTGATCACGAAGCAAAAAATCTATGGCACAGACTAACTTAAACTTAACTTGCACCTACCTTTTTGAAATTCACCTGATCTTCTAAATCACACATGGGACAATTGATATGTTTTTCTCTTTCTAGTTTTGGTTGATATTGTTGGTTGTCCAATTCTTTTATAATATATATATATAGATGAAGATACTCCTTATTTTGATTTTCTTTCTGAAAAGAGTTGTTAAAACGTATCGATGACTGGCATTCCAAAGTGGTCTGGAATGAGTATTGCAGTAATCGCTGATAACACTCATTAATTTTGTTTTTCGTTTTCGTCTTTCTTCGACTTGTCTCACATAGAACATTTTCACTCGCTTTTTCATAAGTAATTAAGTTTAAAACAAAATGTTCAGATTCTTGAAGCTGCACCTCATTCAACTCCAAACTGTCTTTATTTTCATGGCACCATCTTTTGATGGATCGTAAAATTGATGTTTTCATATCATCTGGAACGTCAATATCAGCTGTTTTACTTGTAGGTTTTAATGATTTTGCACTTTATTCCCTATCTTTAACATGTTTTTTCACTTTTTTTTGCTAAATATATCATTTAAATATTATAAATTTGATCGTATTCTAGGTTTTACAACATATATGTTACTAGTTAATTCAAAACAAATTCATTTTTTGTACCTTCTACATCAGGACCGTTTCAATGAATAAATTCTAATGGATTTTTTTGGTTAGAAGAAATGCATTTACATTATTGATTTGTTGCATTTTCAACAGATCAGCTTCGTTCGAGCTAGTTAATTGACGAACCAAACTATAGAATTTGTTATCCGTTAAAGATAGAATATCTAACGGTAAAATACTTGTATCAATATTGATTTTGTTTAGAGACATTTTTCGATAGTGTCTGTAAATTGAAGAAACGACGTTACAGCAGAGCGTGATTGCTATTAAAGTGAAACATTTTCATGTGAGAATAAGAAATCAAATGAAACAAGAGAAAGAGAGAAGGAAGGTGTGGATGTGAGTGTGGCTAGGGCATCGGTATGGATGCCAGTGAAGGTATAACTCATACCCACACCCACATCCGGACTTCAACAACAGAGACTTCAGAAGGCTTACAAAGATTTCCATAGACTACATGTGACTTCAGAAGATCTGAAGAGATTTCGAAAGACTTCCATGACTACAAGAGATTTCTTCAGATTTAATGGACTTCATAAAACTTGAAAAAGCTTCAACAGATTTTAGGGGTTATGTGAGTATTCGAGAAAACTTAGAAATCGTATGAAAAGTCTGTAGTATGCAAAAAACACTCTACCATTTAAAAATAGGACAAGAATTCCTTTTTTTTTAATTCTCTTTTGCCACATAATCATTTATTGTTGAAAGATTTCATACACAAACAAATAGTCTTATTAAAAGAGCATTCGAATTAGTAATCATGCTACTTTTTAAATTCAAACGAGTTTGGGCTTTTCTGACAGATTGTCAAAACAATAAAAGTTCGCATTTCTGCTAAAATAAGATCATCAAAAACGAGACAATTTCATTAATTTTCTTGTGAGTTTTTCTTGAACTAAACATGTGCGGAAAGTTTCAGAAACAGTGTTTGTAATGAAAATTCTCACCAAAGTATTTTTCTACACTATATTTATTCTAGCAAATTGTACATGTATCCTTTTTCTATCATAGACAGAGTGTATGAAAATGTACAAAAATGAAGATCTTTTTAGAAAATGCATTAAAAAAGTCAGAAGAAAAATTCTAGTTTTTCGTTCAACAAATAATACTTTTTGATGATGAACAAGATGATAAGCGACAAAGAAATTTTTATTTTTATTTTCTTATAATCTAAGAGAGATTTGAGTATAGAAGACAAAAACAAATATCTTCAAATAATAGAATAAATGATATTTATTATTTTTTCACTTAACGAATCTGTCTATTGTCTTGGAAACAAAGCGTTATTTTATTCAGCAAAACGTCCTGCATACACATTACTGTCAGCAAAGTGTGAAACATCGTGTATATTGGAAGCACTAGATATTTCGTACATGTTGATTCTGTTTAGTAAACCTGCCATTCGAAACACAGTTCAGAAGGTGTCATGAGACTTCATGTGACGTCATGACGAAGTCGCTGCTGTTTCCTCTTTGGGATATAGTCGATGCGCATACAAGGTTGTGGATGTGAGTAAAGAAAGACCGACACTCATACATCCACATTTGTCTACGTCCGGAACCACATCCACATCTGAACCCTACGCAGAATGTTACTCATATCCAGAGCCACACCCACCCACACCCTCAATGATTTGATTCAACCTTCAAATTTCATACTATAGAAATCATTTATATATAATTAGATAAGATATATGGACTTTAGTTGACGATACAAACTAAATTAACTACAGAAAAAGTTATAAAGAAATGTCAAAACGACAAGTGAATTTTAAAAATAATGCACACATAATAAACAGTAGAAGCTTGAAAAAAAACGATATTAACACGTCTGCAAGAAAATATTCAAACTGTCAGTGCCTTCATTGATAACAACAAGATCTTGCTTTCCATCATTGTTGAAATCATTTACATCTATAGAGAAAGGAAAAGATTGATATCCTATTCCGACCTCAATTACATCTGAAAAGGTCCCATTACCAGATCCGAGTAGGATATCTATAGTGCTGGTCACATAGTTGACTACGACAATGTCTAACAAAGTATCGTTGTTGAAATCAGTGACAGCTATCGAGCACGGACCAGAAGAATCTCCAATTGAAAATGTCTTTTGGTTTGAAAAGGATCCATTACCATATCCAAGAAATATACCAACAGTACTACTATCATAATTAGCGACGACTATATCCACGTGAGTATCGTTGTTGAAATCACCAGCCGCTAAAGAATATGGACGAGAATTAGAACCAGTTTCATACATCGTTTGATTTGTAAAATAAAAGTTTTCATTTCCAAGAAAGATTCCTATATTATCAGTGCCTGAATTAGCAATAGCGATATCTAATCGATCATCATTATTAAAATGTCCAATAACGAATGATCGCGGCCGAGAACCAAGACTTGTATTGAGCATCATCTTTTTAACAAAAACTATGTTGACGCGTCCAAGAAGTACGTGTACGTTGTTACTATCTGAACTAGTTACGGCAATATCTAAACGAGTGTCTCTGTTGAAATCCCCAATGACTATCGACATGGGCAAGAATCCTATTGAATATGTCACTTGATTTGTAAAAGAACCATTACCATGTCCCAGAAGTATACGTACATTGATGTCGTTAGAACAAATGACGATGATATCCAATTGATTGTCTTTGTTGAAATCACCAACAGCTAAAGATGTTGGTCTAAAGCCAATGGAATACGTGATTTGCTTTGCAAACGAGCCATTGCCATAACCGAGAAGTACACCTATATTGTTGTAGCCATTATTAGCAACAACAATATCAATTCGTGTGTCATTATCAAAATCACCAATAGCTATAGAGAGTAGGTAAGAAAAACGATCGGTTAAATATGTTATTGGATCATCAAAACCACCATTACAATATCCGAGAAATACACCTATACTATCGCTATCAAAATTAACAACGACAATATCCAAGCAGATGTCGTTGTTGAAATCACCAACAAGTACAGATTGTGGTGAATAGCTAGATGAATAACTTGTTTGATTTGCAAACGAGCCATTACCATATCCAAGCAATATACCTATGTTATTGGCAGCGCTATTGGCGACGACAATATCTAGTCGTGTGTCATTGTTAAAATCACCAACAGCTACAGAGCACGGCCAACTGATTAATCCTGGAAAAGAATTTGTTGGATACGTCACTTGAGTAGTAAAATTGCCGTTACCATATCCGAGAAATATACCTAGATTATTGTCATTTCTATTAGCAACAACCATATCCAGTCGGGAATCATTGTTGAAATCACCAACAGCTACAGAGTATGGAGCAGCGCCAGTTGAATATGTCATTTGAGTAGCAAACGTGCCATTAGCATATTTGAGAAATACACCTAGATTATTGTCATTCCTATTAACAACAACAATATCTAATAGGAAATCATTATTGAAATCACCAACTGTTATAGAGTATGGATCAAAGCCAGTTCGATAGGTCTTTTGATTCCAAAAAGAGCTTGTGTCATATGGAACATATATATGTACATTATCAGTGTCATTATATGCGACAATAATTTCCGATCGTCCGTCATTGTTTAAATCGCCAGTGACAACAATAAATGGAGGAGAATCAAAACTATCCCCATAATTTGTTTGATGTGCAAACCTGCCCATTCCATCTCCAAGAAAAATATCAACATTATTAGTACCATGATTAACCACCGTAATATCCAACTCAGCGTCGTTATTGAAATCATCAATAACGATCGCATACGGATGCGAATCTAAGCCTATTGGAAGGAGCATGTTTCTGTCAAAAGTTCCATCTCCATTTCCATTGAGTAAAAGTATATTATTAGTGCCGTAATTAGCAATAACAAGATCTACTAGGCTGTCATTGTTAAAATCAGTGGTGGCAATACTACGTATATGTGAACCATCACTAGATGAAAATGCTCCCTTGTTTATAAGATTTCCTCTATTATAATGAAGCAGTATACCCACATCATTACTACCAAAATTAGTAACAACGATGTCCAGTAGTGTGTCATTATTGAAATCGCCAACAGCGGCAGTGTAAGGTTCAGAGTCAGTTGAATATGTTATTTGCCTAGCAAAAGAACCATTACCATATCCAAGAAATACACCTACAATGTCGTCATATCTATAAGTGACGACAATATCCAGTCGAGAGTCATTGTTGAAATCACCAACAGCTACATACTGTGAATAAAGATTTGTCATTAACGTCACTTGATTTGCAAATAATCCATTTCCATATCCGAGAAGTATTCCTACATTACGAGACAGTTGATTAACAACAACGATATCCAGTCGTGTATCGTTATTAAAATCACCAACAGCTACAGAGCATGGCATAGAGCCGGTGAAATACGTCATTTGATTTTCAAAAGAACCATTGCCATATCCAAGAAGTACACTAATACTGCTGCTATTGGAATTAGTAACGACTATATCCATTCGTGCGTCATTATTGAAATCACCAACAGCAACTGAGTAAGGTTCAGAGCCCGTTGAATATGTTGTTTGCCTAGCAAAAGAACCATTACCATATCCGAGAAATATACCTACATTATTATCACCCTTATTCACGACGACAATATCTAATCTATTGTCATTATTAAAATCAGCAACAGCTACAAAGTATGGCTGCGAGCCATTGTAATATGGTATTTGATTAGTCGAAGAGACAGTTGAATATGGTATTTGATTGGCAAAAGAACCATTACCATATCCGAGAAGTACACCTATTTCCTGGTCATCTTTATTGGCAACCACAATATCCAATCGAGTGTCGTTATTTAAATCAGCGACAGCTACAGAATATGGCGAAGTACCAGTAGGATATGTCATTTGATTTGCAAAAGAACCATCGCCATATCCAAGAAATACACTTACAGTTTTCTCATATTGGTTAGTGATAACCATATCCAAACGAGCATCGTTGTTGAAATCACCAACGGCTACAAAATTTGGAAGGGAACCAGTTGAATACGTTGTTAGATTAGCAAAGCCTTCATCATAACCAAGTAAGATACTTATGCTGTTAATATCATTGTTAACTACACTAATGTCTAGGCGATTGTCATTGTTTAAATCACCTATGGCCAATGAAGTTGAAAAAGAAGAACCAGTTGAATACATTTTTGGTCTTGAGAAACTGCCGTTACCATATTCAATAAAAACACTTACACTATTAATACCTTTATTAGTTACGACTAAATCTAGTCGTTTGTCATTATTGAAGTCACCAGTGGTAATGAAATATGGAGAAGCAGCATCGAGCTGATTTGTGGTTTGAAGTTTGAACGTTCCATTACCATGGCCGAGGAATACAACCACATTGTTAGTTCCAAAATTAGCGACGGCGATATCTAATAGAATGTCATCGTTAAAATAGCCGACGACGAGTGAGTATGGATAAGAGCCAGAACCAGTGGAAAACGTTGCTTGTTCTGTAAAGTTATTATCGGCATTTCCAAGAAGTATACTCACACTGTTTGTACCAGAATTAGCTATGGCAAGATCCAGCTGATTGTCATTGTTGAAATCTCCAGAGACGACTGACAATGGAAGAGAATCGTAGCCTGTTGAATACTTGATTGGATTTGAAAAGCTTCCGTTTCCATATCCAAATATTATACTTAGACTGTAAATGCCATAGTTAGCAGTGACAATATCGAGTAGTGTGTCGTTGTTGATATCAGCTATATGTATCCAGAGTGGACGAGACGAAATAGTTGAAATCATGGTTTGATTTCCAAAAGACCCATCACCAAATCCAAAAAAGATCAATATGCTGTTAGTGCCGAAATTGGCCACAACGATGTCCAATTGATTATCATTATTCAAATCACCAACTGCAACCATGTACGGCGACGAGTTGTCACCGGTCGAATAACTCATTTTTCCTGTAAAAACTCCATTCATATTTCCAAAAAATATAACAATGGAGTTAACAATATGATTAGCAACAACAATGTCTAACCAAGCGTCATTATTAAAATTGCCAACCGCGAGAGATCGAGGACCGTAATTGTATTCAATTGGATTTTTGTCCATTAATATGAACTTTAGCTCACATTTTTTAACTAAACGATACATCAAAAGCAATGTGATGACTGTTTGGTTGTTCAAGTGGAACTACCCGTGTTGGATCTTATCGAATCCTCATAAGTCCTATAATATACTGTTAGAAGTTGTCGTAGTACTCTACTTAGACACAACTCAAAACCATCATGTTTCAACAGAAACTCGCTAAGTTTCTTGGAATTCCGATGGAGTTAGATATGTGACTTTATCAGCCAGGTCACTTGTATCAATTTCCTTTCTTTTATCTGCTGTAGAATTCGTTCAAAACATGCATAACCTTTGACAAATGAAGAAGAAAGTCAACGCATATGATCGCTTCCGAACTTGGCAAGTTTTTTTTTGGGTGACAGTGGTTTTTCTATAAATTTAATAACGATAACGAAAATTTTACATTTTTTCAGAATTAAATGAATATCAAAACTGTTGTGTTAAGTAATGCTATGAGTCATTCAATCCGTATGTTGAACTTGTGATTACAATGACAAACAGAATATAACAATTTCTGCTAGGAATATTTGAGAATAACAATAGACAAAACTATGACGATAGAGGAGATGATATGAATCTACTAGCTGATCGAATCATACACCAACAGCACAATATACAGATGAAGAAGAAGTGAACTATGATACAGGTAATAACGACTGACAATAGTAAGTGTATGTGCCAATGGTTATATTGTAAGGATAACAAATATTCATCAATAATTTTCGGATAACTAGTGTGTAATTATTTCTGCTCTTTTTTATACAGTGAGTGATCTATGACTTCTGTTGATCTATTCAATCAGAAATGGTTATACGCATTCTTTTGAGTTTTTAAGTACAGATCTTCAATGTGATCTTATAGAATAATAGTTAATATATCAATAAAAAAGAACATACCAGTAACTTTTGGTGAAGTGAAAACAACTATCAGTACACCGATAACTATTACTATAATTGTGAAAATAGAAAATGCAACCACAGCTACTGCAGTTCGATGTTGTGACCAACACGAATATTCTCTAATGAAAACATTCTATACATTATAATGATTGAGAAGAAAAAAAAAGACTTATACAAAGGCGTTGGAACCATTGGCGATATCTTTATTTGATTAGTGACATTTGCAAATCTGGCTGAATTAGATGGATTGTGTATTGAATTTCCATATTGCTTATAGTCGATATGAGGATGTTGTTCAGTAAGTAAATGTTTGATTGGGATAGCACCATCATTCATAGACTTTTCATTCATCTATAGTAAAATAACAACATTTAACAAAAGGTAATCTGTCGATAAAAGTCATCGGTTGATCATTAAAACACCTTTCTATAAATTACCTTTGAAGTTATCAATGATGTCTTTTTCTATGTAGAAAAGCTGTAAGTTCTTGACGAATAAGAAAATTTCTAAAATAACAGATCAATTTTTAGTCACGCTAATCTAGAATTTTAAGTATAAAAAAAACGAACCTATTTTTCTGAAAATATTGCTCGAGTATTATCTGTGAATTGCTTCTTAATGAAGGTAGAAAGACTCAGACTCTATCGAAGAAAGGTACACTACAAAAAGTTTAAATCTTGTCGAAACTCAAAACAAATGGATATTGAAAATAAATTAATTATTGAACTTTTCAAATTATTTACAATGCTAAAACTGATTTTTTTACTGAGTAATTAAATACAAGCCTTTTTTTCTTTTACAACAAAAATCAAAAATCTTATGAGAGAATTTCTTTAACTGATACCATCAATTTGAGCTAATCTTTTTCTAATAAGTTAGAATTACAATTGAAATAAAAATTCGAGAAAGAATTAATCCATTGCTATTCAGTTTTAGAAAAAAACGAACACAATTAATTTCTGTATTTCAGTTTAGTTGGTTCAATTCATATCTGAATAATTTAAACCGAAAATTGTATCACAAACTCATCTGATATATCATTTTGACTCTAAAGATCTCAAATTCATGTAACTTATTGTCCTGAGGATAACTGATTTTGTGCCAATTTGTTCTTTTTTAGATATACATAGTGAAATTAATAGTCGCTCAGAAAAAATTCTTATTACTTGTTTTATTGAATAAAAAGTAGGAAACCGAAAACCAAATAAAAACTCAAGATAGATTTAAATCGAAATTCATTTTTTCTATACAAATAAAATGACTGCTATTCAAATAGTAATATTTATTCAAGTTATACACAATGGTCCATATATGTACGTAAATGAATAAAATACGACAAATTTACATATGATGTCTTCAATGGATTTCTTCGGAAACTCAATTAAGTCCTAAACATAGACGCAAAGTACTTGATATAGGGATCATGATTTCGGTATATATATGAGAAGGTAGCCCTAGAAATAAGGTTTAGCTATAGATATAGGTGAGTAGACATAGTATTGAAATTCATGTTCCATAAATAAAATATACAGTTGCAACTTTTTGGGTAGCAAAACATCAAATTTCTTGGGAAAAATAGTGTTTCATGTTTGAAAACTCGAAATTTGATAATCGTTAACTTTTAAACTAGCTAAATAGTTTTAAAAATTTGCTCTATGTGTATCAATACAGATTCATTTAGAAAGTTCATTTTGATGTGTTCTTATTATTGTCCTAGATGACAACTCAAAAGTTATCTATGAAACGCTAAACATGTATTTTTGTTTACTTAATAACAGGTAGAATTTCTTTTATGATACCAAAAATAATATTTAACAGTAATATTTGTTTACCTTATTCATATGAAGAAAAGAACTTTGAAAGAACTTCTACCATTAACAAAAACAATCAGTCCATTTAATTGAACCGATGCGAAGATACTTCACTTTTTTTTTGTCGTACTGCTATTTATGGGTCACCTTATATTTGAGTAACCGGTGATAAAATCGCTAATTTTTCCGCGATTTTGATGACATGGACAGATATAGATATAAGGCATTAGGCAATTAGAATAAAGGATTAAATAGAATTAAGAGTAGATAGAAATACGTTTTGAAAGAGTATGCAACAGTTCAATGGTATTTTATTGAACGTTGAACGAAACTTCAACTACGAAACCTGTTTTTGAAACGAAAGAAAAAAAAACTGTTGTACGAAGTTGTAAAAATATTTCGAATTCGTTTCTAATCTCGAAATTCTTGTTAGGTTCTATACCACATCTATTTTTTCTAGTGAAAGATACCAAATTGTCTCCTACAACTAAAATTAATTACATGAAACATGTTATGCAAACACAGTCCGTTTACAGATACCTCAACAATGGATTTACATGGCTGTAACACATCGTATATGATCAATATATGGTTCGTTTACGACAAGGATAATTTACGAACCAAATTTCTGTGCTAGATAATACTGTTTACTGACGTTAAGATAGTGTTTTGTCGACGTTTACATATCGAAAACGAATCTGTTTTAATCGATCTGAGTAATTATGATCAAATGCTTTTACTAGTAATATTTATTTCGTTTAAATTCTCGTAATTTTACATAGAAAATAAAAATAATAAAAATGAAGATACTTACTATAATTTTTCGTATATAAATATCGTCTAAATTTTTATTCGAGTATTATTTTTACTTATTAACAAGACTATTCTCCAATTGGCAAGTCTTTTAATACTTGCTTGGCTATTCTGTTACTACACAATTTATGTCAAAAAAAAAAATATTTTATTCATAACGTAAACAATATCATTAGACATCAGTCTTATCAACGTATCATGTGCATATGTACAAAGTTGCTTGAAATGTATATGCTGAAGAGGCAAGATAAATTATGTAGGAGAAAAAAAATTACCTATTAATGAGACAGTCGTGACATATCTTTTTTTTTCTGTCATGTACGTGGATTTTGTTTTTCTTTTCCACTCTTTACATGTGCTAAAGAGATAGCGATTCAAAAAAAAACTCAAGGTAAATCTATTAAAATTACATTTTGTAATAAAAACAATTATAGTAAACAACTGAGTTGTTTTGCGTTGTACAATATTTAATTAAACTAAGAGAGAAACGCTGAAATTTTCATTGAGTAGATTTCTTTGATTGAAATTGAAAACGCTCTTTGAAAAAAAAAGTTATTATGCTGAACCTTTTAGAATTCTAGATTTGGATACCATTTTCTAGACCTTTTAAGGTTCTAACATAGTCTGGTTTTATCTCGAATGTTCTTCTTGTAACTCAATTGATATAATCAATTCATTTTGAGTTATTAGGAAGGATATATTAATTAATATTTATAGAAATTACTCGTTCTTATTTCTATATGTGTGTTTAATATGAAAATTACAAATTAATAAAATAAGATAAATATGTGACGTTTTGACAATCGAAGTTGCCGTCTTCAGACGTTGTATAGGAATTTTTTCTTTTTCAATGTGATGTTAAATATATGATAGTGAGATGGCGACAGAAAACGACTAGTCCATTTCTCTTACCAATACCACCGTCTTATCATCCCATTATCATATGTTTAACGTCACATTGAAAAAGAAAAATTTCTATACAACGTCTGAAGAAGACAATTTCGATTGTCGAAACATCACGTCTTTATCTTATTTTATTATAAATTAACTCCTAAATTAATTTTTAATTTTTAAATTAAACTCATATATACAAATAAGGAACAGTAATTTCTATAAATATTAATTGATATGATCAAGGCTTTCTTTGAGGACTTCGCTGACCAAAATAATGCAACTGATCCCTACTCAGCGAGAATGAGTCCTATGATAGTTCGAAATTAACTGCTACGATCTTGTCGCAAGTTCAAAAAAAAAGCAGGCATTCTCTTTTTTCTCTAGATTGGTCATGATCAAAAATTATATTTATTATTGAAAAAAACTTAACTGTTTAGTTTTTTATTGAGATGAATCTAAGTGACAAAGGAAAGCAAAGGAGGATGATCGATAACTGATCAAATCGGCATCCTCTTGAATTTTGGTTTCATCTATATCAAACTCTCACACAAAGTGTCTGAAAGTGATTGCTAGAGAAATTAGTCCTATACCACTTGCTTGTGCTGTGAGTGTCAGCTATAGGATAAGACAAGAAGAGCCACAACCAAAACTAAAGTTATAGCCATATCCATCATTTGTTCGTAGCTTTTAGCTTTCAAAATTCGATTCAAATCACATGACAATAGTACCAAAATGCTAGTCGTAACATGTTCTTATCATTGAAATATAATTCAATGGAGTTTGTCAAAAGAAGCATTAGTGCAGTGATTTGATCTTTCATTCGCCTCGTTCTCTATATGAATATGAAAAATAATAATCGAATAAATACATATCAAGCAACATAATGAATTTATTTGACAAATTGGACATAATCAATATTTGTTTAAACAAAGTTTATATGAAATAATACATAACAAATAAATAGAATAGCACAATTAAACAAAAGAGAATAAAGTTATCGAGTATTAAAAAAATCTCTTTCATTGAAGAAACTAATAATTTTTTTCTTCTACTGATCTTTGCCGTCTAAGTGTTCATAGTGATTCCTAACAACAGATTTATTTAAGAAAACATGAAGATATACATCATCAAACAAGAAGAAACTATAAAGAATTTCACAAAGCTTATATGCGATTAGAAGGTAATTGATAAAAGTCTCCGTTTGTAATAAATTTAACAAAAAAAAATGATTTATTTATAATGAAATTATTGTACTTTTTGATCTATATATTTTTAAGATTAGTGGATAGAAGACTATTTGCCTTTCAGGTGCTCAATACATCAATGGCAACTTATTGAAATGGATTGGTTGGTATTCATGTTCTTCTAAGGAAGGTGGGTGTAGAATGTGAATATTCCCGTCAACCATACCCATTAACACCCACATCCTTTCTATTATTATTATTTCTGATGATCTAATAATGTGAACATAGGAAAGATTTGTAAGAGAGAAGTATCAAAGATAAAAAAAACCCTGTTACGCTGCGTATTCGAATAAGATGAATAAAGATTTATTATAGACACAATTGGTTCTCCTTTCGGTTAATTTTCACAGAATTTTTATAACGTTTGAAGTATTGATTGTAGTTATTTGAATTATATAATTCGTAAGAAAAAACATAAGACATATAAATAAATCTATAATATGATTATGTGAATATCTAATGAAAGAGTTTGAAATAATAAATGTACATGTATTTTACAGTTTGAATACTGCAATAAAAATTTATTTTACTATGAAATATTTCCATTAAAATAATTAATTATTGCTTTTTATTTTTTAAATTTCTCTACAAAGCTTTTAGTAAGCAATATTGCAATCATATTTAGTAAAATCAATATATGTAGAGAGTTTACCAAGTCATTCCCTCCTTTTGCTTCGTGAAGTATAGTCGCATTTTTCTTCTTTTTGATATCGTTACATTCCTTGTGCATCTGCCTCTCTAAGTCGATAAGAGAGGAATGATGGCAGAGGTGATTAATAATGGTCCTAATAATGATCATCCTTCCGGAAACAAATATGAGATACTGGAACAAGGTTCTATATCAAATGTTCAAGTTGAATTTATATCAAGATTTTTATCGGAATGTCCGGAAGCAGCTTTAAGTGTACACAAGTTTCTGCAGACAAATTATTCCAAGTCAAATCAGCAACAGCAAATAGTGCAACCAGTGAATTCAACTCCAAAGCGTAAACATCCTCTAGATGATAGTGGAGGTTCAATCAATAATGGAAGAGGTCGTCGTAAATATCCTCGAAAAGGTATCGACAACAATGCACAAAAGCTATCGCATAATGTACAACAAGATATTAATTTACAACCACAACAATCATCGTCGTCAATGTCGTCAGGTGAAAGACAACATCAAGGGATAAATCAGACTACTACGAATCGTAAACGAATTTCTTTTAATCAACTGAAGCACGCGGTATCTTCTAATCTACCATGTTTTTTTATTGAATTCAGTTCGGATGCTGATCGTCATAGTATTCCAACAGCTCTTCATGCAAGTGATCTTATACTTAAAGAACTACAATCGAAGGGTGTTTTAATTAATAAGTTTACATTAGTAGGATGGGCAGGGGAAAAGCTCAAGTTAGGTGTTAATAATAAAGAAGATTATGCTACTCTCGTTGGTTCGGATAAATGGCCTACAAAGATAAATGGGATTGATATTGTCGTCATGAAACCTAAATATATACCCGATTCATTTGCTCTTGTAGTTCGATATGTTCCTAGGGAACTAGATGAAAATTTTGTCTCAAATGAAATACAGAGAACAATTGCCTCTGCAGATCGAATTAAACGTATTCACTATTCCTACCAAAGAAGAACAGATGATTATCGATTCGATGTTAAAGATTATAGTGAATATAATGCTGTGCTGCAACTGGGTCGAATTGCAATAGGTCATTCGTGGTTATCGATCACCAAGTTTTATCCGGGAAACCGTCTAACTTACTGCACGAAATGTTGGTGTATAGGTCATTTAAGAAATAAATGCAACTCAGTAAACAAATGTCGAATTTGTCTTGAAAATTTGAGTGTGGATACTCTGCATATGTGTAAAAATGAACCGAAATGTGCTCAATGTGATGGAAATCATCATTCATTAGATAGTCAGTGTCAAGTTATTAAAGAATATAAAGACGAATTAAAAAAGGATGTTGAAGATGCGATTCAAAAAGGATTATTACAGCGATTTTCAATGCAAGAAAAATCTCCTACATTCGAACTTCGTGAACAAGATTTTCTACCATTAGCAGCAAGTGATAATCATTCTAATAAAAAATGGAATATTGCTCAATCTCGTACAACGGTCGAGTCGAATTTTTTACGTACATCAGATACAGAAAAAACAATTGAATCTATTAATGATAATCTGACAAAGCTTATCGATAGTAACCAACGACTAGAAAATAAAGTCGATTTACTATCATCAAACATAAAAATCGTTAATCTCGACACTCAGCTACATCAAGCAGTCCTAGCGGATACCATCAACATTATGAAAGATTTTATTCAATATTTCATACCAGCATCGTTAACTACTGGCAAAATTGAAAGATTTTCGCTGGTACCTGTGGTGAAAGAATACTACAATCGCTTTCAGGCCGCGTCCTCAAGATTAATAAATGGCTTCCAATTAAATCACCAGGTTCAGCTGATTCCAACTACGTATAATAATAATAACACTGCTCAAACCGATCAACAGCCTTCGTCAGTATACAAATCAACACATAATGCTAAGTAGATCATCAAATCTTAATGTACACGCCGAAGCTTTTTTTCCTGCTTCAGTGAATTATTTATTTAACTCTAGAGAGGAAGCTATGCACCGGCTGAACACTTGGAATTTTCCAACTAAAGATCAGAAATTAGTACTATCTCTGTTAGATGAATGGTACACAGGTAGAACCTTGAATATAGTCTTAGAAGAATGGGAAAAGATTGGAATAGCCTCCTTACGGAACCAAAAAGAATATATAAAGATTCTATGCTATAATGTCGAAGGATGGGGCACTCGGGCAGTTGAAGGTATTGATTTAGTGTATAAAGTTCAAGCTTCTATTTGTATATTTACAGAAGTAGGAGAGTTATGGAACACATGTCGATTACCACATTTTAACACGTTCTATCAAAAGGGTACTAACAAGAATGGAGGAGTATGCATAGCCGTAGGGAAGCATCTGAAAGCGACGCGCATCGAGATTAACATTCCGAACACAGTTATTATTGATATATCAGGACTATCAGAACCAGTGCGTATCATTGGTATTTACTGGCCCTCTAGTCAACAGCGTGATCTAGATGAAATTCAGCCGTATGTAATAGAAGGTACCATACTATCAGGTGACTTTAATGCAACAGTGAAGGAATGGAATAGTCCAATAACTGATAGGAGAGGCGCGCGAGTGAGAGAATGGATTAATGAAAATAATCTCAATTATATTACATCAACGACCAACTCGTCTAAGCGCTCGCTACGTAACATAGATTTGTCGGTCTCTAATATGAGTACTATTTCAAGTGAAACATTATGTTTTGGTACTAGTGATCATTGGCCTATTTTGCTATCATGCGAGAACATTTTTTTCGATACAAACAGTTTTTTTCCTCATACAAATTGGAAGGTATTTGAAGCAGTATTAGCGCTATTACAAATATTCTGGATGGAAGAACAAAAGAAAAACAGTGCAGATGAGTGGTATAAGCAATATATTCGTTTCATCGCGGCGGTCAAAAACAGAGTGACTCATTGGAAAGAGAGAGATAAATTTAAACCGTCGTTACCGGCTGATATCATCGAAAAATTAAAAGAAATACGGAAAGTGAGAAATAGATATTATCATTTAAGACATAAAGGAGTTTTTAGCGAGGAAACGAGGGTGCTTTTACGCGCAATGACGAGAGAATCGAAAGTTGATATAGCAAAACATAAAAATGCTCAATGGCAGAACTTCTTATCTAATATTCAAATGTCGTACGAAAAATCAGATAAAGCGTTTTGGACACACTTATCGCGCATATACAAATCGCGATCGCTGCCGTTCTATAAACTATCGGATGGTACTAAAATAATATCAACACAAGAAGGAATCACTAACGAATTATTCCAGTACTACAGTGAACAGTTTAAAGTACCTGCATTGGATTTCTCTAATGAACATGAAGGTCAGATAGATAGGATGTATAAAGAGATGTTAAATAGATTATCAGTGTCGAAGGTTAACGTAGAAAAAACTAGTACTGCTGAAATTAGGCGTATAATTAAAACCTTAAAGCCTAAGAAATCAGCAGGCTTGGACGCAGTGTCAAACTTTATAATTAAAAAACTTCCTCCAAGTTACATCGAGTGCTTAGCTAACTGCTTCAATACATGGTTAAACGAGTGTCATTATCCAGATGACTGGAAAATTGCAAAAATCATTACTCTAAATAAGTTGAAATCGGGTATCCCAAAGTGTGAGCAAACTCGTCCGATTTCTTTGTTAGCTACACATTCAAAGCTGTTCGAAAAAGTGCTTTTACTTAGAATTAGACACTGGGCAGAAACAAATCGTTTAGTACCGTCAGAACAATCTGGTTTCCGCCCAAAATGTCTCCTACCAACTCGAGTACTTTCGATATATCAGGAAGTGAAAAACAACATGGCAGCTAATATTCCGACACTTGCCCTCTATGTCGATTACCAAAAGGCTTATGATCGTGTTTGGCATGCCGCTCTTCTTTGTAAACTAGAAAAAATGGGTATGCCTCTAAACTTATTGAAAATGACTAGTAGTTGGTTAAAAGATAGAAAAGCTTACGTAGAATATGGTGAAATAACTTCGAAAATTTTTAATATAAATATAGGACTGCCGCAGGGTAGTAGTCTTAGTCCGTATTTATTTATAGTGTTTCACTCAGATCTGACAAATTATCTAGGAGCTCATTCATGTCATCTATTTGCAGATGATCTGTGTGTATTAATTAAACCTCCAATAATGAAAAAATTAGGCCCGATGATTGACTTCTTAGAAAAAGAAGGGTCACGAGTTTGTAATCAGGTTTTTATGTACTCAAAAAAGTGGAAACAGCCGTTAAATGTTTCAAAAACTGTAGTACAACTATTTCATACACAAGTTAAAAGACCTATAGTAAACGTAACAATAGACGGAAATAAAATCGAGTTAGTCAAAGAATTCAAATACCTAGGGTTTACTTGGACGGATAAACTTTCGTTGAAACCGACAGTCGATAAAACCATAGGATTTATTCAGAGATCGCTAGGAAAACTGAAATGGATGATGTCCGGTCGCAAAATGTCACGTAAAGCTCTTCGTCAATGTTTCTTCGCGTACACTTTTCCGCATTTCGCGTGGCTATTCCCGCTTTTTCCTCTCCTCCCAGAATCTCTACAGCATGTATTGGAACAAAAATTCCGTGTAGGACTTCGGTTGGTGCATCGCTGTCCATTCGTTTCTGCGAATAATCTGTTTACAGTCACTTCTGAACAGCCCTTACGATTTTACGTTAAAAAATATATTCAACGAAGATTAAAAACTATGTTCACAACTGATCTTGGTTCTTCATTCTTCTATGAAGATATATTTGGTTGGGATAATTTTTTTAAAAGGAAAAACGATCACCTTGGTCAATTTTTTCGCACACGTCGTGTGCGACAATTGAAAGATCGACACGAATCGTTCCTTTTAAAGTGGTTGTACTTTGTTGATACGAATTAACATCATAGAAAGAGGCATAAATGTAATGTAGTCTTTACGCAATTTTCTTCCTCTTTTTTTTTTTCTCTTTTTCTCTTTTTAGTTGTTCACTTTCGGTTCTGTTCTCATTCTCTCTTCTTCTTTCTTTTTCTCTCTCGTTCGTTTCTTTTAGCTTGTTCTTCTTTTTTCTTCTTTTTCTAGCTGTTCGCTATACTCACGTATCTCCGCTGCCGCTTATCATCAGTACTTCTCTCTCTCTCTCTTCCTTTTTACACTTTTTTATTCGTGTTTTCATTTATTTACTCCCTAAATATCTCTATAAGCAAAAATTGGTACGCAGCATAATATATTGTTGGCACAAATTGTAACGCTTTGCTTTAATGATGCTGCTTTTCGCTTATACATATATATTTCTCTTTTTCTTATGTAAGCACTTCCGAGTGTTACATTCACGAGCATAATAAAAAAAAAAAAAAAAAAAAAAAAAAGGAGTTTACCAAGTGCATCTAACCAAATGAAAGACGTGAAGGTAAGAATGAAGATGTGTGCGAGAGGATGTGATGTGGTTTATGTTTGGATCTTCTACTCGCCCATATCCAAATTTGTTTTGATAACTGTTAACTAATAACGCATATTATTAATTGATATTCACTTATAATAATCAACACTTTTTCAAAAATATTTATACTAAGACATTGCCTGTTCAATTCTGTATTTGTTGACACATTTAACATGCTTCTTCTGTTGTTTGACAATATCAAAATTTACGAAATATTAAACATGTCTAAAACCTTCAGACTGGTACAGAAAAATTGCATTTCAGCGTCTATCATTGGTCAGCAACCAATCAGATCGAGAACAGGCGATAATTGGAGACTCTAACAATGGCTACATACGCCATTTAAAAAATAGCTCTTGTCTTATTTCTTTGCGGAGAAAACACGAAGGTGAAAAGTGTCTTAAGTTGTTGTGGCCCAATTTACATTCATATGTAACTTTGAGCTCTATCGAAGCAAATAAAATTTGTAATATGAATAACTTCAAAATCTCACAGAGGTTAAGGTTAACCACCATATTAATAAAATAATAGTTTAAGAAAAAAAAAATCATCTCCGGAGTGTTTTTAAATCGTAGCGCATTATTGAATGAACATGGTAGAGTCTGAGACTGGATTAACATCTAAAAACCTTTTTCATGAATACTTTCTTATTCTTATTGTTAAGTGTTTGATCGCCTTGACATCAAAAGTTGATAAACTGTTTTCATATGAAAAAATGCTTGTTTAGCAAACAGATTTAAACCATTAAAGTGTATTTCTTTTCGCGTCACTTGACTTTCGTCGCTCTCAAGTCACTCTATACAATACTGCATATGTTCATTTCAAATTTAACAGAGAGAGAGAGAGAGAGAGAGAGAGAGAGAGAGATGAATGGACGCATCAGATAGGAATAAACATACGTGCTCTCACGTTACTTTCCCGGGAAGGTATACACATGCAGAGAGCCCGATAAACACATGTACATTATATCAGATATAAGCAAAGAAACAAGACATACATATATAAAATTTGGTATTGATTCAGAGCGCTAGATATAGATATAAGGGTCTATACAAATATCTAATCGTTCATACAGTGACAAAGGTTTAGATAGAAAGCAAAAGGGTTAGGGATATATATATATAACGGATTACACATACGAATAAAGAGTTAATGATAGTATTATGGGATTCTATATTGAATAAGAAAAGTTAGATAAAGGAACACGGAGTCAGATATACGAATAATGTTTCCTTCCCCTTTTGTTTTTTTATATTCCATAGGTATTCTCCATCACAAAATCAATGTTCAAAACGCAAGTATTGAAGAAGATGCAGAATCCTAGAATCTTTCTTTAGCCATGGTGCATCCCTAGTGAAGTATACAGTTGTTGTTGTTGACACCTTATTTTACCAAACCTTTGAAATTTGGCTCATTTGAAACCCAACCCAACCTCAAATCGAAACCTAAATCCTAAAACCCAGATCAAATCCAAGTCTAGACCTAAGT